GCCTGAACCCATGTGAAATCCCGGGTCCTTCCTGTTGGTCGAGTCCCGATGAAGTGTGCGTTGATTTGGAGGTTGGTGTCTGAAACAATGGCAAAGTTTCCCCCCTTGGCTCCATGGAAGTAGAACATCACACCGTCACCGCCAACAAACCTAGGATCGTAGCACAGAGAGCCGTATCCGTCACACTTGGATTTCCTATCTGCACAGAAGAAAAGAAGATCTAGTTTTAGTAAAAGTTTCAAACTATATGATCTAGTTAAATTCTTTTTGTCAGTTACATAGTTAATTGAAAGAAAAAAAGAAGAAGGGTGAAATGGCTTACACTTGCAAGTAGCTTCACACTTGCTACCGCAGTTAATGAAACAACCCTTGTTCTTCTTGTTCTTCTTCGGCTTTCTCTGAGGGCATTCCGACGGGCACGTAAGGGTCTTGTAATAGCAAGCCCCCTTTGCTTTGCAGAACCCTCGCTCCTGCCCGGATCCCAGTGGTGTCAACACGTCGTAATTAGCCTCATCGGCTTTTTTGCCATTTGCGTTCCCTTTTCCATTGCCTTGCCCCATAACCAAGGCGGCTTCCATCGAAACAAGGACGACGAAAACAGCCACCAAAATATGCGACATTGTAATCGTAGGCGCCATTTCTGGCTGCCAAATATGTATGCTTCTCTTCTCCTTCTGTTGATTGTAGTTTGTGTTGTGAGCTGAAGAATTGATGGGAAAGAAGGGTCCGACAAGAGATTATATAAGGGAGGGACGAGGGAGGGAACCCTAGCATTAGCCTTGGGATTCGACTTAATGCTTGTGCTCATATTGCTTCTTCATGTAATCAAACAGCTTAGAACCAGCAGTTTTGGCTAAGCATTGGGATTGCTTCTAATTTTTTATTTGTGTATTTTGCAATGCACATTAGCACTTCTTTCGGCTTCCTCAAAGCGTCGTTATCGAGGGACAAAATGGCCGACTCCCGAAAAAAATAATGAAATTTGCATGTAAAAGCTGCAAGAAAAGTCTTCTCTATTATTTATATTTGTCATCATAATAAAAGTTTTCTATCCCAAACACTATCACATTGTTGAGAAACTTTTTATTGTGCAGGAACACGGCTTAGTATACAAAGTTTCATAATAAAAGTGGTTGATATTTGAAATAAAAAATTTCAATTACTTGTATTATGATACTTGATATACTAGATATATTTGCTTACAACATTTTGGTTCATGTATCATATTTGGATTAGCTTGCATGCACAAAAAGTTATATGAAAAATGTGATAAGTCTATTTGAATGAGTAAAATAAACTTGAAACGTAAACAAAATTAAGAACTTTAACGGTAGGAACCTACAAATCCTCGATTTGTTAATTTTGTTTTTAGTGTATTGCTTAGCATTTCTCTTCTTTTGTAGTTCACATTAGCATTTCTTTCGGCATGAGTTTTGAAAACATATTGTAATTTGCATGTGAAAGTTGTCATATAAAGCGTTCTTTTTTGTCATATTAGGATGAACCTGTACGTGGTTTAATATTCCAATGGATAATATATTGGCTTTTTACATGCGTTCGGGGTTCGAAACTCTCATTTCCTTAAATTATTGTAATTAATAATTTCAAAATTTTCCCTCTTTCTCTTAATAATAATACTAATTAAAAAAAAAAATATTAGGATCGACTTCCATAAATGAGTTCGTATAACAAGTTGGGGGATGAGTTACATTTTTATGAGAGATCGATCGATCAATGTGATTAGCAAATATGTTAGAAATACATTTATAAAATCATATTAAAGATTGAGAAACTTTTTGAGACGTTTTAGACTGTCATCAGAATACACATAATATTAAAGCACTTCAGCTCCAGTACTGTAAGAACACTTCACCGCCACCGCCAGCCACTCCACGAGGGAGGAGCTTAATTCTTGCCTCCTATTTCATGAATTAAATAAAGTACATTATATATACTCAAACAACTATTCTACCCTGGAGGTTCATAAATGATGCTCTTTTTTAAGCCCTAGAAAATGCTTATTTTGCAAGGCATGATAATTTAGTGGACTTTAATGTAACATGATTCTCACTTGTGTATGTAATAAATTTTAGGCTTGCCAATTTATTTCACGATCTATTAAAATTGACACAAAACGACGCAAGAATAAATACAAATTGGGTTGTTACTGGGTTACCTGTTAAGATTACGGGTCTGACACGATAAGACATGATCCATTAAGATAACGAACATGACATGAAAATGACAAATACAACCCATTTTCCCAAGTTTACTCATTAGGCCTCACAATTTATTGCACGATCCGTTAATGCTCCATGAAACAACACGAAAATAGCAGGTTTTGGGTCAACCTGTTAATAGATCGAGTTGTTATCAGGTCACCGTTAAGATAACGAATCAAACACAATATGCTTTGTCAAATAACAGAAATGACACGAATACGACAAACACTACCTGGTTGGGTTGCCATTGATTAATAATTGAATTAGTGATTCGTAAAGGTACATGTATGGAAAATGTTCTCTTGCTAGGACTATTCGATTGTTGACAGATTGGAGAAGAAAATTTATTCGAATTCTATGTTATGGGAAATGTAGTTAACATACATTACAAGAAAACTTGACAATAGCTACTAACATTAGTTTACACAATGAGGTTAGTAAAGCCTTATCAGTTGTTAACAGGGTGGATATTTCTTTACCCACCTATTATACACTCATATTTACTCACCTCATTTTGAACAACTAAAATTAATAACTATTATCAACTGTTTTTTTATATTGATAAATCCTTTTACTGTCCGGCCATAAATCTACCGTTGAACAAGTTGATTCTTGCTTCAGTTAATTTTGTAGTCTGGATATGCAGTTAGACAATATGAGCATTTGAACATCGTCAACAACTGCGAAATTGTAATTTGCATGCGAAGGTTGTAGTAAAAGTTTTAATTTTTTTTTTGCCATTGTATTAAACTTATTTAATTCAAAACACCGTTACATTCTTCACATTAACAAGTGATGATTATAACTAGCGTACAAATCACATTGCGAACTAAATTATGAACACATTTGGATCCACTTGCATGCATAAAACGAGTTCACCATAAAAATTACAGTGAGATACCTTGACTATATATTTAAATGAAAAAAATAAACTTAAAATTTTGAAAGAAAAAAAAAATCCGAACTTTTTAAACGGTAAGAATTTTTATTAAAACCTCGATTGCATCAATTCAAATTTTAGTGGTGCAAGCATTTTGCATTTTGTATAGAGCATTAGCTTTCTTTCTTTTTCCAGTTCACATTAGCATTTCTTTCTGTATATATGTGCGTGTGTGTGTGTGTGTGTAAAGAAAGAAATATATTAGTACTCAAAACAACTATTCTCCATGGAGGCTCATAGAAGATGCTCTTTAAGCCCTAGAAAATTAGAAATGCTTGTTTTGCAAGGCATAACTAATTTGGTAGACTTTAACGTAAAGTTATTTTGTACAACTATACTCTCCAATGTATTGGTCAATACCTAATGTAAGACTCCATAGCTAAATTAGCGTCAACTGCAACCTGGTTGACATTGATACACAATAGAAGATACATTTTTTTTTTCTCACGGGAGAGAATATTTGAATATCAACCATCGAGAATTATCTGTTCAAATTAACCAAAACAATATATTTTGATCAGTTTCAATGACTTTAGAGGATTTGATTGGATTCCGAGATGTAGTAGAATATGTCAAATTATCAAATAGACGGGCTAAATGCACTTCTAGCAACATCAATATTGTCTCTAACTTGTTAATTACTACTAGTACAGTTCGACATGTATGAAATTTTTATCACAAAAGACCTTGGTGTTAGATGGTGTGAAATTAAGATATTTGAACTCTTCTTTCTTTATTTCTACAACCAATGTGAGATATTTCAATAGAATAAAGGCTACATCTTATTTTGCTACAAATTAAATATGGAAAGCTTATAACTTTAAAAGAAAAATAGAGCAATAGTCCTAAACTATATATTTCCACATATAGAGCAATAATTTTAAACATGTTAAACTAAAAATCCGTAAGTATTAATCTCTTAACTTGTCATGTGGAGCAATGATCATCTTATTCATATTAGAGCAAGAGTTTCACTCCCCTTACGCGTACTGCAGACAAATCCAAATGCTAGTAGTTATGGTTAACCCACGTGTAGAAGCACACTATCAAACTGTAGCTGTTTCAGTATCGTATGCCTCCACGATTGAATTAATAAAAAAAGTGAGGAATTACGCAGGTGGACTTCCTCTTCAACCCACCAAGTTTCATATTTAGATAACCCAATTTATCTAATTTGTTTCCTAAATTATTACCTGAGTGAAAATTAAGTTGATAAATTATTTTTTTAAAAAAATCAATCCTTGAATTATAAAAATCTGCCTAATATTAGGTTCGAAGATACTATATTCAATTTTCTATCAATTTAAGTCACATTACTTGCATATGATACACATTGGAGGGTAAATTGATAATTTTTCATAAAAATTTGTGTATGGAGTTAACTTTGGAAGGTAAATTAGACGTTAGATTCGCAACATATATGAAATGTCAATGGCTTATAGGCGAGAAAATGATGGTATTATACTCTAAAGTATGTCAAGTGACTTAAATTGACAAAAAATTGAATAAAATAACTTAGAAGATAATAGTAAAGATGAAATTAGCAATTTTTAATGAATTTAGGTACTTATTTTACCAAAAAATAATTCAAAAACTTAATTTTTATTGAAGTGATAGTTCATAGACTAAATATGCACTTCACCCTTAATTTTATTTAGAATAGCAATATTTCTTGCAGTAAATTTAATAAAAAATTCTTGACCAAAAAAATTTAATTAAAAATTAAAAATTAAAAATTGAACCTTTTCAAAGTAAATGATGGACAGAGAAACTTGGAGTGAATAGTACATGGGCCAACGGGACAAAAGAATGTATAACCCAGCCCAGCCCAGCCCAGCCCATCCCAGCTGACAAGTTGACGCCCGAGTTCCCTTTCTTCTTTGGCACGAATCGCACCATGTAGGTAGTAGCTCTTCTTCCTTCTCCCTCTCGCTTCTGTAACTACTGTTGTTTCAGTCGGTAACTTCCTCATCTTCTTCTTCTTCTTCTTCTTCTTCTTTTTTCTTCCTATAATTTTATGGTTTTTCTCTTTTATTTATTTTAAACAGGCTTTTTGCTGGCTCTACCTTTGCTGCTACCTCTCCCACAAATTTGGAAGCTCTCATCTCAGCTCTCACAACACAACGTCAAGCATAACCAAAAGTTGCAACAAGGTATCGATTGGAGGTTAATTTGAAAAGAAATATTTCGTTTAGGGTTGTTAATTTAGGTGTTTTAACTTGGGAGTTTGATTTAGGATTTAAATTAGGGTTTTTAATTTCGAAATTTACTGGGTTTCTTGTGTTTGCAGAGTTGTTTTATGTATTCATACTTCTAATTGGTTGAAATATGCTAGAGTTAGGGATGCCCACATTAACAGAGGTTTCAATTTGGGGTTGTTTTTTGCAAAGTACTAACCTGTTTCTTGGGTTTGGTTTTGGGGGTTTAGGTAGTTTCATGGACCTAGCAACCCGATCCCCAGTAGGTTCGGTGTTCTTAGTAAATAATCATTGTGTTGTGAAAAATCGAATTGAAATGAAATGCAATGCTATTCTGACAAAAGCTTGGAAACAATAAGAAGATAAACAGAATAAGAAAAGGACTTCAAAGTGAATTACATGCCACAATTTTATTGCTGTGTTGTTGCTTCGCAATAGTAGTCCGGATGACACCCAACCTCAAGCAATGAGTTAGCTGTTCGTCCATTGTACCCCAAACACCAAAAGTTCCTCAAGCTAAGTCGTCTGTTGTCTCTGTGTACAGATTGTTTATGCACCTGATAGGCAGACATCTCATAGAAACGAAATGAATTTTGAGAACATTGTGGAATATGGAAATGCAATGACCGTCTCAAACAAGAGAACAGATTCCAATTGAAACCAGTAATTCAAAAATTAAAATAGAATCAGAAAAATCCGTGCAATCAATTTTTCTAACTTGTTTAGAAAATTCAGTTTCCCTATGGTTTGAATGCCTTAAACTAATCAAGGGCATAGATTAATCCTAAATTGATGACAGAAAAGGCTTGGATCAATCCAATAAGTTGATTATGCTTCCGTATTTAAATCTCGCTATTTCCTGGTTTTGTTGTCTTTTCGGTTGTTGTATGCATTTTGAGTAAGGCTCATTGCGGCGGCATCACTAAGTCATCTCTCCTGCGTATTAATGAAATCTTGTACCTTTGAGTTTGTTTATAATGATTTATGCTCAAGTATGTTTGTACATGTGTATTCTTGTTGAAGAGGTGAAAAGGAATACTAAGAGTGTTTTGATAGGTTGTAATGTTATTGAATTATTATGATGAACTTGTTTATTTCTTTTTAATCATTGAGGGTTCACTAATACTGTTTTCTTTTCATTTATTCAGCTTATTAATATGGATGCGGATGCTGCAAAAATTGCCCGGGAATCTCTTGAACTAGCATTTCAAATGTCCAACATTCTTGACACGGGGCTTGATCGTCACACCCTCTCCATCCTCATTGCATTATGCGATTTGGGTCTCAACCCTGAGGCATTGGCTGCTGTTGTTAAGGAACTTCGAAGAGAAGTCGTTCCAGTTCCGCCATCAGATGCTGCTCGTCCTGTACTTTGAACTGGTTTTTGTATTCGGATTGTGCGGTGTGATTACATTGCCTTAGTTGCCTTCATCTTCTTTTCTTCTCCAAAGGCCTAAAATTTCCCGCACTCTCTCACAGATTACTGAGTGCGCGATTTAGTTAGTCTTGTTTGTTATGTTTCTTTTGTGTTCTTCATGACCTTAGCTCATCGAGTATGAAATATGGCGGAGTTGCATCAAAATGGCGGTCTCGGACTTCTGTCAATCTCAAAACTAGGCAAGCTAACAAACAAGTGAAATAAGCAACAATCAACGTGTTTCACGAACAAGTGAAAAAAAAAAAAAAAAAAACCTCTAAATCATAGTATGAAGTGGCAGAGGTTCATATTCTCCATCGTTATATGGCTAATTACAAGAAATACGTGATCGAGTGATGAAACCAGCAAGCAGTGCTAGAAAGAGAAACCAACTAATGATCCCAGCTGCATCTGGCCACCCGAAAAATCCTTGAGAAGAATCCTCTCTCAAATTTGTCACGTCATACTCTGGATACCTTAGGGTTTGGAAAGCCGGATCGAAGAAGTCCTCTACAACATGGTACTCGAGTGTCAACGGAGGCTGTGGATATTTGGGGTTAAAGAAAGCTTTGTCTTGAGGGCAAAAGAGGGTAAGAGTGGTATTAGGGTTTATGTTTAGGGTTGGAAGAATCACAGCATCAAGAATGGTGTTTAGGGTTAGTGCCATGGCGTGATACCCTTTGTCAGAAGGTACACCGGAGACCAAACTGGCGTTGATTCCCGGTGTTTTCGATTGGTTTGCTTGTTCATATGGTTGGACAGCTTGAGTGGTTACAAAGAAAGTTGAAGAGAGAAGAATGAGAAGAAAACACAGTGCATACTTGGAATCCATGTGTGAAGAGAAAAAAGAAGGCAAGGCTAGCAGAGTAGTGTTGCAAAGAATTTGGCAACCAAACCTATATATACACATATACATATATATAGTCATAGTCCATGCTTCCAAGTACTGCCCTTTTTTTAACTGATGTCCAAATCCTGAATGGATTCCTTTTTCTATGAGGGAAAACATGTGACATTAATATTTTGCCAAAATTATATTATTTGAAGACCTAACCGACATTACATATGCTACTTTTTGCCAAAATAGTGGGCATTTGGTCTACCGACCAACTCAACCGATATGGGTTGGATTGGATTGGATTCTAAATACGAAAAACTTATTTCTGAGTAAAAACACGATTACAATTATATACAAGTGAGTTGAAATACAATTAATCGAACTGAACCGAACCATTGCATGACAATAAATTGTTGCGAAGAGAGAGATCTATGGGGTTGAATTAGATTGGGCAACAATTGTGACGTGGTTGGTGATATTTTTCTGTCACTTAGGTAGAGTTAGGTATGGAGAACATAATGGAATAGAATGGAACATGATAGAACAGAGGTTTAGTGCCACGTTTGGTATGCACATGCTTGAAGGGGACAGTTGTTCTGTTCTGCGTTTGTACACACTAGGCGTAATGGACAAGAAGATTAAATGACTAGTGTATCTATGTTCTGTCTATTGTTTGGTACAATGTTTATGGGATGGATGGGATGGGATGGTTTTTTTATTGTTGATTTTTTAACACATATATGCCTAATTATGAAATGTTTGTTACACTAACACTTACTGAATATTAGTACCTAGGGGTGGGCAATTAAAAAAAAAAAAAAAAACTGACAAAACCGACCAAACCGCACCGACGGTTTAGTTTGGTTTGGTTTTTTTTTTTTTTTTTATCGTTTTCTATTCGGTGAGTTAACCGAACCGCACTGACTAAGGTCAGTTTGATGAGCAATTCTTATAATTCTTGGACATCGGTTAACCAAACTGATCCGTGTGTTTGCTTTTATTTGTTTTAATCATAATAGGCATACCATGTACCTACCACAACAAAACAAAACGTGGTAGTTTTACGAACTCTTGTGCAAAGCTTATGCTTCTGTGTTTACATAATTATTACATGGGTAGATTGCTGGAGTGTAGGAAGTGCTGGGAAAGTTCCCAGAGGCATGGAAGTATGGAACTTTTGGAACTTTTGGGACTTCAATTCTTAATTATCTATATGTAATGCTTTCTCCAGTAAAACTTTTGAACTTTAAGAATGTCTGAACGTAATATTTAAGTATCTATATGTACTGCCTTCTCCAGTAGATCTGTTGAACTTTGGAACTTTTGATCTTTTGAAACTTTTGGATTGTAATATTTTGAAAAATTGGAGCTTTGATGAATTTCTTTTTTGTAACTTTAAGAATGTTTGAATGTTAAACTTTGAATTTAACTAGTGTTCACACAAACTGAAAATTGACCCAAACCAACCTACCATTGTTGGTTAAACGACATTATCGGTTTTAGACCCAACTTGATCAGTTTCGGTTTGCAATTTTGGCTTAACCGACTAGGTCGGTTTGGTTTTGGTTTTAGCCCAAAACCAACCCAACCCAACCCGCACCCACCCCTATTAGTACCTATTCAAAAATGCAACAGGTAATGAAAGAGTTTTGATATATTGATTGCAAAACAAATGGTGCTTGAAATGGATAGATTCTTGTGACCTAAAAGAAACAGATATTCTAGAACTTATAAATATGCAAATAAGGGAAGATGCAATTGGACTTCCTGACTTAATAAAATTACTGTATTGCTAAAACAATAATGAAAGTTTCACACACTAAAACAGTTCATCCTACTTATAGCATAGGATACAATTCATCGTCCATACACATCTTAATGAAATATGGCTTGTGTGAGTCATTTAAGGTACGCCAAATACGCAACAAATCAGTATCGTTCACTAATGTCATTGCATGCCAAATCTCATAACGCGTAGGCGAAAAACCGTTCACAAAATGAAGTTATAACACAGAATTTACAAGCAAACAAAATGAAGGGCAAATTGATAATTTGACTCATCTATACATGCGAGGCCCATCAGTTGCACCAGTAATTGTGTTGTCTGTGACGTGTGTCAAATGTGTAATCGCAGGGTCGGTTCTAGCGACAACATTTGTCCGACCAGCTATATAGGGAAGACGGACAACCTTACGATATAATACAAACAGTAATTGCAGTTAAAAGGCCAGGCTGAGATCCTAATGATACAGTACTAGGTAAATGGAAGATGGTAATTTGGAATTTGAAAGGAAGCTTTGTATATACAACCATCCGAAATGCAGAACTTGTTATCCACCTTAGAACTATGGGAGTTTTAACGAAACATTCCCGGAACTGTTCACTTTAACAAAAAACCACATTTTTACCTTTCCTGAGTACTATTCATTACACCTTTATTTGTCATTTTTCATTAAAACTAAAGTTTTTTTGGACTTTTCGTTAGTTTTCCTTAGAACTAAACCATTCATCTGAAAGAATACTTTCCACCATCAAAGACCCTTAACAGACATTATAAAGTAAGGAATCTAAATACTGCAGGGAATAAACCATAACAATTCTCTATCTGGGCCACTATTGAAATATAGGGAGGTCAATCTTTGTTTGTTGGTCTAAACTTAGATCAGCTCCAACAGCAACGATGCTACTTGAGGCTCCTTCTCCGGTTTCAGTTGACATCTTCAAGAAGTAACTATGCCTGCGATTTTAAATATTTAGAGCCTCGTGTGAATTTCGGAGAATGGATGACAGAGTAAGCATATTTACCATCGAGTGTCTGCTGTCAATTCAGGATGGAAGGCAGTCGCCAGCAAATTCTTTTGTCGAACTGCTACAATCACTTTATTCTCAGACACAGGATTCTCCTGGAATGTCAAAAAGTAATAAGAAAATAGCAACAAGAAGGTAAAAACGAACTTAATATATTCCAGCAGCATGCCGTCATTGGCAATTTCATTTTAGACGAATGATGATCTGGTTTTGTGGAGCAATATAACTGCATATTTGCACACCAGAACAGAAGCTTTGATAGTGTCTTTTGATATATACTGCAGAATCAGTGTTACGGACGATATATTTCTGTGCAAAATCTAACTAACTACACAATAAGTGTTATAAACACATGGCAGAACCAGGTTTGTGAGTGGTGATTCTAAGAGACCAAAACTAAGCGAGAAGATGAACAGATCAAATTATTCTAGTCTGATTGTAGTCAACAGCTTTCAATCATAGACATATACTTAAGACAAGACCACAAGTAAATTACAGCTTCTCGTATAAGAAAATGTCCTTTTGACTGTAACTTGCTTGCTCGGCTATCATGAACTTGCAAACTAACTACCCTATTTTAGAAGAAATGAACCTGATTTTTTCAACTTCTTCGAAAGCAAATCCTATATACCCTATCCACAAATAATAGAACCGCCAACCACTGACGGAGCTGGTTGAACTTACCCACCTGTTACATATTGGATGTTTTATGGTTTACAAGGAAATATGGTTACTGAAGATGCAAATGAAGCTGCCAACCTAAACGAAACAAATGAGGCTTGACTAAAGACTGATTATATAACAGTATAATCAGTAAAAAATTCTATAGACAGGAGAGAACCACAAACCTCTTGAGCTTCAACTGTGGAATTTGAATCCAACACCTTATTGGACGGGACAGGATAATCAGCCAGCACTTCAACTTCTGGTCCTACATCAAGGATAGCAGGAGCACGGATGAAAACTCCACGAAATACTTCAGGACCACCTTCCGTAGAAGCAAGCTCTGGTACTGCTAGTTCAGCCTCAAAGCTCTGAATCTGTAAGTTTGTGTTTTAGGAAAAGCAAAACAATTACCACACAGAATATCAAAATTACGTAAACTTATGTGTTCCAACAGACAGTTCCCTAAATAGGTCAGTTCCTCATAGCTCTTGTTCCTTTTTTATTTATCTATTTAACGTTAAAACCAGGTATGTACCCAAGTGGTGGTTTGGGTGCGCTACACCCATCTAAAATAACTTCTTCTTTTTCCACCAAGAATACGTATGTATTATCCCAGCCCCTCTTGCCCTTCTCCTTTCCTTTATCTAGTTTCAAAATAATATCTAGTCATTAGACAAGTGCTTGACCTCCTCCAGATGACACCAAAAATATAAGTAATGGAGCCAATATCGTAGTCCATTAGCTCAATGCTCTTTTTTCCAAATACAAACCCTATGAAGTACACATAAAAGCACATGAATAAAGTTTCATGCAAGTGTTTTATTCTCTTTTTATGTCTGTGCTAGTAAAATAACCACCACTGGACTCCTTAGATAAGACAGTGATGTGGTTTTTTGTGAAGAAATAGTGGATGTCTTTTCTTTTTTTTCTTATATACATCCTATATTTCATCATAATCTAAAACATCATCCAGGTCCAATATCGTGCACAACTTTCAAGATTACATGAATGTGTGACCTTCAAAAATTTAGAACTATGGAATCCACAGTTTCCCATTAATAAGCACAGGAACATAGTTTACAGATGAGACTACAGGTAACAGAAATGATATTCAAACACAGTTCAACCAATCAAATACTCTGCGCCGCGTACAACTCTATTTTTATGAACTTTCCAAAGTAAAGAAGTCTAGGACCTTTTTTTTTTTTTTTTTTAACACAAACTCTAGGACACTCTTACCATGGTAAACAAAAATATTGTTTAATTATAGACCTCTTGACAACATATCACATTAGTGGGAAACATTTTAGTGAATAAAAATTTCTACATAAAACGAGTTTATTGTCATATAATATTTTGATTTAATAGTATTGCCATGTATAATTTGTTTTCTTTATCACTCATCAATTAAAATTTTATTGAATCGAAACCCTCCTGTACCTTGGCGATCAATCCGTTTCGAAGACCTCAAAAGAAAGAAAAAGGTACTTCATAGCTTTGAGGCAATTGCTAACTAGCTAGAGCCAGCTCATTGCCTTCTGTCTTTTTTTTTTTTTTTTTTTTTTGAACACAAACTCTAGGACACTCTTACCATGGTAAATACTGACAAATTTACTAATGCAACATGTGTCTCATCATTTTGCTGCATACGGCATATCTGTCTTGATAAAGCATGCTTAACTTGAGAGAATACAGAAGTCAGTGCATTACCTGACTGCCAAAGAAGTTTCTGTGAACAGTGCAATCTAGGCCGCCAACAAGTTCCTGTCCTCCTATTTTCTGTCCTGAAAAACATGCAACTTGTCTCAATTATAAAGTTAAACTTTTGGTTACTTTCATTTGTATTGAAGAAGCAAAATAAAATTCGAAGATTCATAGCAGAAAAGAAAGAAGGAAACGAACCTGTAGCTTTGTTTGCTAAGAAAATAAGACCTGCACAGGTCCCCCAAACAGGCTTCCCCATTTTAACAAACTCGCGCAAAGCAGGAAACTGTGAACAAAATAAATGCAGAAATGATAACCAAATATGAAAACGTAGAAAATGTCCGAATTCCTAACCATTTGGTAAGCCAAAAACGTATTAGAGTGTATAAACAATTAGACACTGTACAAATATTTAGCAAAATTCCTTTTGTGCAAAAAAGAAACAAAAGGTGGTGGTTACATTTAGCAAAGTCATTTGCTTTTTCAATCAAATAAGGTTATAGTCTAGTTTCTCCTCCTTTATTTATCCCCTCTGTTGGAGTTTTAGTACAAAAGGCAAACCGAAATTGTTCATGCTTGGTTAATAGCTCTCCTAACCCACAATTACTATTATAACAAAACCCATTACCTTTTGTTTCTCTTAAAAATTACAAATTTAATCACTTAAATATCAAAACTATACAACGTTTTACCTGGAAATTGAAGTTCTATAGCAGTCATTTACACATTAACCCAAGAATTAACATACATAAAAGTACTAAATGACACAAACCCAGAAGTGTAGAGAGAGAGAGAGAGAGAGAGAGAGAGACCAGGTTGTGGTACTCAGCGAGCTTAGCCATAGTGGTGCTCTCGCCTCCAGGGATTATAAGGGAGGCCACAGATTCAAGCTGCTCCGGCTTCCTTATCTCTACGCCCTTCACCCCAAGCCTTCTCAGAGCTACAACACACACAAACACACAAACAGTCAGCAAAATCATATATCGAATACATATGCTGCGAGAGAGGGGGCGGGCGGCAAAAATGGAGTGCCTGCTATGTGTTCGTTGAAAGATCCCTGAAGAGCAAGCACGCCGACGAGGGCCATTTTTGCTCGACGGCTCGGGGAATTGGGCTGACGATACGACAAACGGAGCTTTTATTATGTAGAGAGTCGAGGGAAAAAGAGAAGGCGTAAAGCGATTGAGCGCACTGCGCCTCTCGTTTCCTGAGTGGCTCCACTTCTTGCCCTTTTTAATGAATATTTAAGTTGTTTGCGTAGTAAAATGTTACACGTTTAAGGTCATGGGTTCACTACTCGCTAGGAAATATCGAGTGCTATTCCTGGTTTTTAAAGAATTCGAGTTTGAAACTCTCTTTTTAAATTATTGTAATAGTTTTAAAGTAGATTTTAGATTCTCTTAAAATATAATTTTGCTACCTCATGTGTTTTGCACAATGCTTTGTAATGTTGGAATTATGCCAAAAATATGAGGTGGCGGAGAATTCATGGAGAGTCCTACTTTTGAGAAAATCTCCTTAGCATTTTCATATATATATATATGGCAGACTAATTCCTTCATGGTCTTAATAGAACGAAATTGTGCTCTAATACCAAATGTTATTCCTTATCAGTTACATGACCCCTACATTGTTTCCCACCTCCCAACATTCCACCAATCTCCGACTGGACAACCGTGTGTTTCTACTAGGGGTGGGAATGGGCCGGACCGGGCCCAAATTTGAAGGGACCGAACCGGACCCGCTTAAAAGGGAAACGGGCCGGGCATTGCAAATTTGATCCCTAGAACCGGACCTAACCCAGCCTGTTTGAAACGAGCTGGTTCTAGACGGGTCCACAAATCTTCTTTTTTTTCTTTCCGGTTATGGTCACCTCCTGGAAGCGCTTATCCTCCATATCTTCTACTCGATCTCCAACTGTCCGACGTCAAGACCCTCATCCGTTGGCCGTTTCCAAGCAATTCAACTCGCTTGTCGAGCCTTGTCCCCCACACAGACTCAAATCGCTGCAGGATAAGCCCGACCCGACCAAGATCCTTATCTCGTTCCACAGCGTCTGAAACCTCTCATCGAGCTCCTCTAGGAGCTGCACAGATCGGAGATAGAGGTGTCCAAAGAGAGTGAGAGTTATGGCAGCTCAAGCGCAGGATTGGAGGAAAGAGAGAAGGGAGTGGACGGCGGCTTGTGGCGCAGCTGGTGATGCTTTGTGGACGGTTGCTTGTGGCGCATATGGTTTACGGTGAGTGAGTTGGAGGTGAGATGGAGAGAGACAGAGAGAGAGACAGAGAGAGAGACAGAGAGGGAGGGAGGAGATCGAGAGAACGGAGAGAGATTGAGATAGCGGAAAGAAAGAGGGTGAGGGTCGAATTAGGTATGAGAATAAGGGAGAGAGGGTAATAGTCTAATAGACAATAGAGGGTAATCATTGTAGGGAATAAACGGTCCGGGCCGGGGGCCCGTTTTTCCCAATATTTAGAACCGGCCCACCCCGTTATTCATTAGGAACGGGCCCGCCCCGCCCCGTTTTTTATTTGTAATTTTTGGACCCGCCCCTAACCGCAAAGATCCACCCCGATCCGCGGGTCCAAGACCCGTTTGCCCACCCCTAATTTCTACCCATGTATCCAATATCCTAATGGATATGATGTTGAGTTTTTGAAACTTCCCCTCCTCTTGCTTAAGTGTGATGTGTGTGTGATACTGTGTGTTATGTCAAACACCATAAAGCAAGAGCATCTTATTAATCACTTTTCTTTTTTTACGTTGCAGATGGCTATTGCAACTCCTACGTCGAATGATGATATATGTGTATCCAATTCCCAAGTCATTACGATTATACGTCTGAAAAGAAGCTTCAGAATACTCTTCCTTGCCAGAATGCTTAAAAATATGTAAGCTGGCTTCTGTATACTGAGAGATGGCCTTCTCTTCTTTCAACATTTATAGTGCAGATAGAATTACGCAAGACGGCGTTTGATCGGCTAAAGACTGTTCCTTCCGCGATGGAATTCGGATGCATCATTTGCTCAGATGTATATTGTATCTGGTGTTAGAGAAAGTGCAGAATTTTTAAAATTGATTGAGTCCTCCGCTGGTAACTATCATTTCCTCCATTGCTTCTTCCATCACTCTTATGCTTTCAAAAGTATTAATAGATAATGTCATAAACAGAATTATCACCAAAAAGCAAAGGAGAAATTAAACAAGCCATAAATATGTCTATGAATTTCATATCAGTCCAGATACTCTACTTCTCCAACATATTTCATCATCATAAAAGAGTAACATAAAATTTGCTATACCACTTGATTGATTCAATTAACACATATCATACGTCACTAGTCGATGCATGACCAAATGGCTACCTGAACTGGACCCTGCAGTGGAACAACTCCCTCTAATGCAGCATTCAAGGGAAGGATGCACCGAAAGTTGTCAAAGCCTCAAAGATGCAAATAAATTTCAACAAGGTCTTTCTATAAATGCTAACAAAGCGGGATCTACTTTATCTTTAGACAATAAATTAATGACCAACTCTGTAGTTGATGCATCTGCAGAAAAACCCCTCTCCACCATTTCTTCAATAAGCCTCACTGCCCTTGACGTCTCGTTGTTATTGATTAACCCACAGATAATTGTGTTGTACGTGCAACCATCTGGAGAACAACCTTTCTCTTCCATTTTTCTAAGCAAGTTTTCTGCTTCAAATGTTAGCCCCCCATTACAAAATCCATTGATCATTATGGTATATGTCCTGACATCAGGTTGAATTCCTCTTATTGATAAACTACAAAGGAGATCCCACGCAAATTCAACTTTTTTAGCTATGCACAAACCTTCAATAAGAATACTGGAAGTTACAATATTAAAATCCAACTTCCTTCCCTCCATCTCTTCCAACAATTCAACTGCCTTGGGAAATTGTTGTTTTTTACAAAGGCCATCCAGTAAAATAGAATAAGTATGAATATCTGGACGTTGGCCGAAAGCTTGCATTTGAGAGAACAAGTTATGTGCATCTTGTATTCTTCCCATCTTGCAAAACCCATCAATAAGAGTGTTATAAGTAACCAAATTTGGAACAATTCCCCTATGACACATTTCCAGAAAAAGCATCCGGGCATCATCTATCCTCTTAAGCTTACAATAGCCATTTATCAATATGTTATAACTACGAGCATCGACCATGCACCCTTTCCTAAGCATTACGTCAAAAACCTTTTTCGCCTCGTCCATTTCTCCTCGCAAACAGCAACCATCTATAAGCGTGTTGTACATAATAGTATCAGGTTTGATATCTCTTTGCGTCTTCATTTCGACTATGCTCCTTGCTTCCTGGACCATCCCCTCCTTACAAAATGTGTCAACCAAGACATTAAAGGTGTACACATCTGAAAATATATGTTTACTCACCATTTCATTCAACAATCTTGTGACTTCTTTCCAATCCTGTAATTTGCAAACTCCATGAATCAAAGAGTTATAGGTCATGACATCTGGGGCAATACCCTTACTCTTCATTTCTGAGAAGAGGTTCAGTCCATCGGCAACTAGAGTATCTTTGCAAAGACTGTCGATAATCGTGTTATAAATAACTATGTCAGGCTTGCAAGCCCCTTCCTCCATCTTCTTAAGCAACTGGACCGCTGCAGTGTTGTCACCTTTAATTCCCGCAAAGGCCCTTTATTAGATCAATTCATACAATTACAATCTTAAGCAATTTGAAAACTAACCCGACGTAAATATTAAGAATAAAAATTGCGCCTTTTTCCTACGATTAGTATCTTTCTTAAAGGCGACATAAATCGTAAAATCTTCTAAGTTACGATCAATTCATTCAATATTTCCTTTTTAGAGGACAAATTCCCACATTTAAATTATGTATCAGATATACTAGTACTCTTTTATCTGGAAATCTTAGTTCAAACCCTTCGCTATTGGGTGAAAGATCCCTCTTCCTTACATTTATTACGACTCTTTCTTCATCAAATTAACTATTTTTTTATATATATTTATTTATAAATTTAAAAAGTTTGTTCTTTCAAGGAAAACCCCTAATTAAAAAAAAAAATCATTACCTCCCTAATAAAAAAGTGATCCTTGTTTGATCTTTATTTTTTTGAATATCCTCTTTCATTGGATTAGTAATGGGACACATATATCAAAAGCTCAATGCGAAATTTGAATGAGAGGAGAACAATAAAAAATAGAAAACAAGTGGGTCTATATGTTAAAAGCCTTCTTAAAGAAAATCACGGGTCTGTAGTTTGTACATTGAAATCAAACTGATATTTGTGAAACCAACATTACCAGATTGAGGATATTTATTTCGCCTTTGAAAATAGGACAACACACTGCCCGTGACATAAAGTTATAAATTGAGAGAGTCAACCACAACTCGATTCGTTAAAATCATTTCAAGACAATTTCCTATAGGTTTGAAACTTCAAATTCTTCCAACTAGACAAGAAATTTTTGCTAAATAAAGAAAAAAAAAATCCAGATCCCAAAGAAAACAAGCAGAAATATTTGAGTGGGAATACGCATATTGAGAAAATTTTGGTTTTGTTATCGAGTTTGATTTTGACAAAAATAAAAGGAACAAAAAGACCAATATTTCATGAATTTTTAACTCCACGATTAAATCTAAACTAGAGTGTAAATTTAGGGACCAATTTTATAGTTTACTCATAAAAAGTACAAATACAAAACTGCACCGAATTGAGTAGACCGGTCCAATTTACTGGATTAATTTGATTTTCTGCTGGGAATGCACCCTTTATATAACATTCTAATGCCTTTTGGCTAGTATTAGATAGACTAAATTTGTAAAACACGGGAGTTGATAATTGGATTATTACTTAAGTGTTGATTAACGTGCTTCTTTCTCATTAGTAACATATCATTTAGTTTGCACATTTAATCTACAAATTTAGTCTACCTAGCATTATTTATTCCTTTTAATAGAAGATTTGACTTTGTTCTGTTATTTTTTTTTTTAAACGTACATGAAGACGTCATTTAATATTACGATCTAGTAGTACTCATCTTTATTTGTAAGTGAAAGGTCTTAGGTTCGATTCATACTTAAAGGTGATTTGAACCTCATTATGCTAGCAGTTAGCCCATTCTGAGACTTAGCCTACTTCTTCATCCCCTTAATGTAGTTAATATCGTTTGTTCATAAAAAAATAAAAAAATAAAAAATAAAAAAAAAACATGAAGACGAGGGCAGTGGAGAACGTACTCGCTCGAGGACCTTGCAGTTTTAAGAAGTCTGTATTATGGTCCTTTTGACGTATATCTTCAGTTGTGACATTAGGCATCAATAATAGAATGACATAAAGTTAAATCGTTGACAAATGACATTAGCATTACTGAACAAATTGTAATGCTACATTAACCATCCATAAACAAATTGGTAAGTAATCGTATTAGGTTCGATATCACGTTGAATCATCATTTCGACCATGCTCTTTGCGTCTTGGACCATCCCCTCTTTCCAAAATGTATCAACCAGGACACTGAAGGTGTGCATATTTGGAAAGATATGTTTACTCACTATTTCATTCAACAACCTTGTAACACTGAAGGTGTGCATATTTGAAGCATTTCGTCGAACACATTGAGAGCATCCTCAACATTAGTGATTTTCACAGGCTGGTGTTGTTGGGTGTTTCTAGATTCGGTCGATTTAGAAGACGGAGAGTGAAACAAAGCCAAGTAATTGTTGAAGAAAACAAGAGCAGTAGAAGATTGAAGAAGACAAGGCGGCATACCTCTGAGTCTGAGTCTGCTGGTGGTGTTGCCATAACCAACCTTCAAAGAAGAGGAAGCAGCAACCGTTGCCCGCATCATCTTCAGCATCTCTAAGTCAGCGGTGGTGATCACTTTGCATGTCCAGTATAGTCGATGTCCCCACTGAATAGTATGAGGTGTTTCACATTAAATACATCTGAAGCACAAATATGGCTTGGTAACTTCAGGCCATAATCATTGGGGTAAATCTTTTCAAGAATTTTATATGGCCAATCTTCCGCTGCACATAATTTGTTATAATCTTTAGCTAAAAAACAATCCTTCATCAAAACTACCCAAACAAAATCTCCCACATCGAACTCGGCCATTCGCCTTTTGGAATCTACATGAGCTTTGTATTTATGACTTGTTTCGTGAAGGTGCTTGTGAGTCACGCTAGGGACCTGCTTGATGTTGTCAACATAATTTTCAGCGTTGCCACTAATTCTATTCATGATTGGGGCAACAGCAAGATCAACTAGTGCTCGCAGAATTAAGCCATAAACAATATAGAAAGGACACAGTCTGATGCTGACAGAATGATTGTAGGCAAACTCTGCAATACTTAACTTCTTGTCTAATGACTTCAAAATGGTCACCCACCAAGGCCAAGTTTGGGTGTTGCTTTTTTATTTTTTCATCAAAATCTGATTCATTTTAAAGTTAAGTAGTAAAAAATGTTTGGTAAAGACAAAATATCCTGTTTATTTTAAAAATAGCCTTTAGACAACAGCTTTTAAAAGCAGCATGTAGGTTGCTTTTAAAAGTTGATTTACTAAAAAGTGGAGTTAAGCTTTTAATGAATATTTTTAATTCATGCAATACGCCCATTAATTTTAAAGAATGATATTATTTAACTTTAGAGAACAAAGTGATCACTACCAGCCCACCTACCACTACAAACGCTAACCTCTTACACCACCATTGTTCCCGCCACCACCACACGGCCCACACCACAGTCGCGTCACCACCACCACCAATACAAACACCACCACAGCCATACCCGCTATGAAATCCCATCCCCAAATAAATTGTAATTTTACATTTATTTTAACAATTTATGAAATTACAATTCTACCCTATATCTCTAACCAAACTGAATCTACTTTTTAAATTTTCTCTGAAATTTCCTCCTCTCTCTGTTTGCTTATCTCTCATTCTTTCTCTTCTTCCCGAGCACTTTCCTTCTCACTCTCGAATCTCTCTCGCAGCTTACTCTTTCCCCTTCTCGATCAATACCCACACACCCGGACACCCCCACACCCAAGGAAATCCATCGGCGACAACACCACGACACTCACCATTGTGGTAGCACTCTCTTTCCCTCTCTCCTTGCCTCTATGGAACACAGAGAACCCTCGGCGAGCCGTAGTGTTTGAACCCAAGTTCGGCCACCTTTGGCCATTTCGAAGTGAATCGAAGGTACCAAATGCTCCCTCTTGTCTTTATGTTTATTTTAGATGCCAGATTGTAGGTTAATGTGGCCAATCAGCGTTGAGCAGAGCTCGGGAGGCTCCGGCCTTCGTTCTTGACAGAAATGGGTCAGTTGACCCACACTTGGAAACCCAAAACCCGTAACCCATCAAACCCAGGCCTTTCGGGCTGTACCAGCTCTAAGCCTTAAACCCAACCCAATGACCCCCCTAAAGCCCAAACCTATTTAGTAAACCTTTTAAACCTTCGGACTCGGGCCTTAGGACTGTTTAGAACTAAGGGCTTTGGCCCACTGAGCCAACCCAATCGAATCCTTTGGGCCGAGCTTTCAGGCTCTAAGCCAATTAAACCCAAGCCCAAAAACCCAAGTGACCCCAGGCTTTTGGGCCATGGAATCGGCCTATTAGCCCTTGGCCCAGCCTAGCTAACTCAACCCGGATGATCTGGCCCGTGACCTAACTTGTTGATTCGGACTCGTTGACTGTTGACCGTTGACTTCTAATCAACGCTAATCGTTGACTTTTTGTTGACTTTCAGTCGGGACGCCTCCTAAGCTAGTTTCGACATCCTGAATCCATTTATGATGTTCGTTTTTCGAAATTCAATCGTTTGAGTTTAGTTTTATTAATTGGACCCTTTATATGCTTAGGTGCATTTATTAGCGGCGATTCCATCATTCCTATTTCGCACGACTCTTCGACGATAGAGTATCTGTAAGTGGACCCTTTCTAAAATGCATGTTTTAATAGTAGAAATGCATACATGAAAAGCATGATTTAATGGTTACATTTTATGAGTAAATTAGATTTGTACTTTATTATTATCATGTTTTACTAAGAATATTTTGGAATACCATACTTTATCGAACTTATGTTCTTTGTAGTATATATGATCGATGACTATATACTACTTATGAACATGTTTTTACACTTCCTTGTAGTATATATGATGGATGATTATATGCTATGAAGATGTTTTTGAGATATATGTACTTATGTTGGAAAGATTATATTCAATGTTTTTGTGCGTATCTAGTGGTCACTGTTCTGCCTATGGGCGAGATAGTTATATTGGCTTCGGCCAGGCGTAGGTTGGTGGCTTCGGCCGTGAGATAATGATACATGATACCACTATTTAGCACATTTTACGATATATTTTTCATGAAAGGTTTTATGGCATGTTAGGGTTTTCGGAAAACCTATTACATATTATGCTATGAGTTTTCATAAAAGTTTGGGGTCAGTACATTGAATAACTGTTTCAGTATTATATATATATATTAACTTGGTCCACTCATGTTTGTTTTGTGCCCCCTCAAGACATAGGAACGAGGTGTACAATCCGAGTTACGAGACATTCCCCTACCGGTGATTTCATATCATCTTTTTTGCTTTGACATCTATTGTAATATCACCTCTCTATTTTACCTTTCACTTGTACTCTGGATTAGTTGTATGCTCTGAACATGTCATGCATTATCATTATATTCATTATTGGCAGTTGAATATTATTATTGTATTTTGTAAGACTTATATTTGAATATTACTTTGCGTAGTTACGAGCGAAATTTATATGTATGTTTCACATGTTCTTGGCATATGCATCCGTTAAATGGCTTGTATCACCCTAGGGTGTCGGCCAACACGTGACCATTCTGATGTCCTTTGGACATGGAGATTGGGGCGTGCCACCCGCCACCATTACCACCACTTCCACCACAATGACAACTGGCACAACCATTGTTGCCGCCACAACCACCACCACCATTATTGCCACCACAACCACAACCGCCACCATTGTCGTTGTTGCCACTTACCACTATTGCCCTCACCACTGTTGTCGTCGTCATTGCCCACGTTTTCATGTCCATTTTTGTCATGATATACAATTATATCACTGTTGCATTAAAATTTATCTAGTATTTTTACACTGCTTTTACATTACTTTGTTCCTTTCGTAAGTGTGATACGTGTTTGTGTGTTATGTCAAACACCTTAAGGAAAGAGCATCTTATTCATCACATTTTTTTTTTTTAATATTTTGCAGATGGCTATTGCAACTCCTACTCAAACCGTTTCTGTAAACGTTTCCTCTCTCTCTCTCTCTCTTTTGTGTAGCATTTTTATTAATTTATACCACATATTATCAATACACAAACTATGATTCAGTGCAAAACAGAGCAGATTAATATAGCTGATAATGTGATTAATTAGTTGTGCTTTTTGTTTGTTTTATATATGTAGAATTATGAATGAGATTATAAGAGGAAGTTTGCGGAAGTGAGTAGGAGTGCCTACGGGCCTCGACTTGTAGGGAAAAGGATCCTCGGGGATCCCGCGGATTCTGTGATCAGTCATTCATCGTACATCGTGCGGTCAGTTTTCGTTAGATTCAATTTATATTTAATTTTAAATTTTAAATTTCAAATGATTTCTGATTGTATGATGTATGATGAACAGCCACGATTACGGGATTCCCAGGAAAATGATCCGGCAAGGATCCTTTTCTGACTTGTAGTGTTCACGAAACTGTCGACGTCAATTTCAAAGATGTTCTATATCCCGAAGCAGACAGTTCAGCCAACCCTTTAAGGAAGAGCAAGAACCGAGTTACCGAAGGAAGAACACACCAACAAGAAAGATTTCTCCTGTCTCCCCATCAGCTATTTCTTTTACGTTATGTATACGCTTTAGATCACTTTTCATTGCATTTGCAAGATTATCTTATATAGTGAAATACAAATGCAAACAAGCTCTCGTGAATGTAGCCGATTTGGTGAAAACTTAAATTCCCGTGTTCATTTGTGTAATTGTAACATCCCAAATGATCTAGCAACCAACACAGTCTGTCTCCATCACCTCTCCAGTGTCTATTCGCCACCGTGATACTGTGGAGTTTGACTTCCAGCAACAAATAGCATCATTAAACCAACATTTCAGTAAGATTATCTTATATAGTGAAATACAAACGCAAACAAGCCCTCGTGGATGTAGCCGATTTGGTGAACCGGTTAAACCCCCGTGTTCATTTGTGCAATTATAATAAAATATTATTTGGTTTTTTGTTTTTTATGTTTTTTTTTTTTTATCAGATGTCTATATTGTATCTGGTATTGGAGGAAGTGCTGAATTTTAAAATGGAATGATTCCTACTCCTGTAGCTATCACTTCCTCCATTGCTTCTTCCATCAGACTCATATGCTTAACAGAATTATTACCAAAAAAAATAAGAGGAGTTAAACCAAGCCATAAATACGTTTACTAATTTCATAGCAGTCCAGATACTCTGCTTCTCCTACATATTTCATCATCTTAAAAGATTAACATAAAAGTTGCTCTGCCACTTGATAGATTAAATTACTAAAACGTATCATACATCACTAGGCAATACATGAATGAATGGCTACCCGAACTAGACTCAATAGCGGAACAACTCCCTCCAATGCAGCATTCAAGGGAAGGAAGCCCCGAAACTTGTCTAAACTGCAAAGATGCAAATTAGTTTCATTGCGGACTTTCTATAAATGCCAACAAAGCAGGATTTACTTCATCTTTAGACAATAAATTAACGATCAACTCCGTGATTGATGCATCTGCAGAAAAACCCCTCTCCACCATTTCTTGAATAAGCCTCACCGCCCTTGATATGTCGTTGTTATTGAAAAACCCTCGGATAATTGTGTTGTACGTGCAACCATTTGGAGAACGACCTCTCTCTTCCATTTCCCTTAGCAAGTTTTCTGCCTTACATGTTAGCCCCCCATTACAAAATCCACTAATCATTATATTATATGACCTGACATCAGGTTGAACTCCTTTTGATGACAAACTCCGAAAGAGATCCCATGCATATTCAACTTTTTCAGCTCTGCACAAACCTTGAATAAGAATATTGTAAGTTACAATATTAAAATCCAACTTCTTTTCCTCCATCTCGTCCAACAATTCAACTGCCTTGGGAAATTGTTGGTTTTTACAAAGGCCATCCAGTAAAATATTATACGTTTGAATATCTGGAAGTTGGCCTAAAGCTTGCATTTGAGAGAACAAGTTATGTGCATCTTGTAGATTTCCCATCTTGCAAAACCCATCTATAAGAATGTTATAAATAACCATATTTGGAACAATTCCCCTTTGAGACATTTCCAGAAAAAGTATCCGGGCATCATCTATCCTTTTAAGCTTACAATAGCCGTTTATCAATATGCTATAACTACGAGCATTAACCATGCATCCTGTGCTAAATATCTCTTCAAAAACCTTTTTCGCCTCGTCCATTTCTCCTCGCAAACAATACCCATCCATAAACGAATTGTAAGTAATCGTATCAGGTTCGATACCTCTTTGAATCATCATTTCGACCACGCTCCTTGCTTCTTGGACCATTCCCTCTTTACAAAATGTATCAACCAAGACATTAAAGGTGTACACATTTGGAAAGATATATTTACTCACCATTTCATTCAACAATCTTTTAGCTTCTTTCCAATCCTGTAATTTGCAAACTCCATGAATCACAGAGGTATAGGTCAGGACATTTGGGGCAATACCCTTACTCGTCATTTCCGAGAAGAGGTTCAGTGCGTCGGCAACTAGAGTATCTTTGCAAAGACTGTCGATAATCGTGTTATAAATAACTATGTTAGGCTTGCAAGCCCCTTCTCCCATCTTCTTAAGCAATTGGATTGCTGCAGTGTTGTTACCTTTCGCGCAAAGGCCCTTTACTAGGGTACCGAAAGTAACCACATCCGGCTTGCAATTACCACTGTCCAACATTCTGTTGAAAAGTGCTGCTGCCTCGGCCTCTCTATTCTGGAGAAGAAAACCATTGATTAGAGTGTTGCAGGTCGTGACATTGGGTTCAAAACCCAATTTGAAGAAGCTTCCCAAGACTGACAAACCAAACCCCAACCGGTGCAAATGGCAAAAGCAGTTAATGATAATACTCAGAGTATAAATACCAGGACGAATTCCCGAAACACCCATTTTATTATTCAAGGAGATGACTGCCGAATAATGTTTCAACTTGGCAAGTTGAGTCAAGATTTGGTTGAAAGGGACAACGGAAGGCAGAGGACGCCTTTGAAGCATTTCGTCGAACACATTGAGAGCATCCTCAATATTAGTGATTTTAACAAGCCGGTGTTGTTGGGTGTTTCTAGATTCGGTCGATTTAGAAGACCGAGAATGAAACAAAGCCAAATAATTGTTGAAGAAAACAACGACAACAGAAGAAGAACGAAGAAGACAAGGCAGCATACCTCTGAGTCTGAGTCTGGTGGGGCTGCTTCTGCTGCCATAACCAACATTCAAAGAAGAAGAAGAAGCAGCAATCGTTGCACGCATCATCATCAGCATCTCTAAGTCAGCGATTCAGTACGTTAATCCTCCACAACAGATTCTACTCGGGAATAAACCACCCTTGTTGTTGAGTGATGGAAAATGCTCTCCCTTGAAATAATCAAATCAAAATCCCATGTTGCTTCAGATGGAGTTTACTCTTGCCAAATGTAAAACCCAAACAATTGTAATCTATCAACTTTTTCTACGACCACCACCTTGTAAAACAAATACATAAAGACTCGAGGGACATTTAGAAATATAGCCATTTCAGAGAACACGTATTTTAATATGACCTACTTTTTCTGCTTCTTTTAAAACTAACCAAAATTTATGTTCCAAAGACTAAATTACCCTAATACTAAAACCTTCTCAGTTCCTCCCTTCTTCCCATTTCTGAATTCTGATTGAGATGCTTCTCTGTTATTTCTGATATCTAATTATCTATCATTTCCAAAAATACTTGAAATATTTTTTCAAAGAAGCACATAACTGATGCACTACACAAATTGCCTTTATATTGGTCCCGTTGTATGTAAACTATTCATTATCTTTACTCTCTAGTTGTATTTCTTATGTTAGCTCTGCCAGCCTCTGCAAATTCCGATCGCTTCAAGACTCCAAGTTGAATAATTTGGTTGGTTAAGTGAAACACGTTCAAAACACAAATAAAGTGACACTGGAGACGTACAATTGTTAGATTCACATGTAGGCAAAACCAAGATCTAATATCATAATATGGAGAGTTTCGCACATCCAAAACTTAGGAGAGTTGGACTACTCCTCCGTTACCTATTGGATCTCGGTTTTCAAATTTCATCTTGCCTCGCTTTCAATATTGGCATGCCATTAGTTGTTCATACATTTCACTTAGTTGTTACACTCTCATGTTTCATTTTGATTCAGGTTAATTACACTAACACCTCCTGAGATTTTTTGTGTTTTCATAAAAACCCCTCACGTTTGATAAATATCACTAATACCCCTGAGGTTTTCATTTACTTTTACATAACCCCTCTAAAGATGTATATACCCTTGTAGTTAATTACTTAAAATAAAAAATCTTTATAAATAAATAGAAAAAGAAATCAAATTAAAAAGAATCACATTAAACATTAAAAATGGCCAAATTGTAGAATTCTTCTTGGCTTTGAATTCTGGGATACGTGTGTGTTGGGTTTTTGGTTTTGGTATTTGACTACTGGTGGCTTCCTTCAATAATTTCAAGTTCCATAATTATTCTCTTTATATTTTTTTGGTCTGATTCATACTCTCTTTGCGAGGATGGAAGTAGAACGAAAAAGAACATATACTACGATAACAAGAAATTCTCCTAATATTGTTTATAATTTACTGGAAACAAAGATTTCATTGATCATTTTAATTTCCCAGAAATAAAAAAATCCACCAAAATACAAAACAAAAAACAATCGGAATTGCAAAGACGGGTGTTTTCCACTTTGATATGACGACAATGGCCAAAGTGGCGATGTTGAAGAAGCAGTTGCAGAGGCTGGCGAGGAAAATCTTCAACAATAAAGAACAACGGGTTGAAGGGTGTATTAATATATAAATGGTCTATGCATTGGGTTTGAGGGTTTTCTTCACTTAACGAGGGTGATTCTGATCAAATCGTGGCTAAGAAACAATGGATAATCTAGCTGACCGCCGTGTAAATGTGTCAAGCTGTGGCCGGTCTGTGTGGCATCGTTGTTGGGATTTTGGAATGTTCTTCATCCATTTGTGGTGATGACTTTAGAATGGGGACTAGGTCCTTTGAAAAGAATGCTGATCTTGAAGCATCTCATAAGTAGATGGCTTCATAGGGTTTCTTTTGTTTTATTTAAAGGAAAACTAATGAAAAAGGCTTGAAAACTTTGAGCCTTAATGATAAGGACAAAATAAAGGTAAAGTGAATAGTACTAGGATTGACTTTTTAGTGTAAAAATGTGGTTTTTCGTTAAAATGAACAGTACTGTGGGCTTTTCGTTAAAACTCCCTTTATTTAATGGTGTTTCATGCAATTTTAGTTAATTTAACATTTTTCTAGACTTATTTTATTTATAAATATTTTTTTAAGTAATTAATTACTAGTATATATCTGTCTTTAAAGGGATTATGTGAAAGTGAATTAAAATCTCAGGGGATGTTTGTGATATTTCTTAAAGTGAGGGGTTTTTGTGAAAACACGAAAAACCTCAGGGGGTGTTAGTGTAATTAACCAATTTTAATTCATTAGACTAAGTAAATAAAAGAAGAATTAAGGGGCATGATTAAGATTCGATCCCCAACATAGTCGTCCTTCCTTTTATTGTATATCATCTAAGATTTTAGTGGATAGAGTGTTGGTTTCTATCAATGCATCCCGAGTTTAAAACTCTCCCCTCCCTAAAATTGTTGTAATAATTTCGAACCCTTTTCTTTTCCTTTAGTAACAATAATTATTATTATTTTTTTTTAAAAGGCACATTTGCAAGAAAAATCCATGCAAAAAATGGTAGGATAATTGAGTAAATTTGTCGAATTTTT